ACAGTTTTACAGTTTTTGCCTATTGCTTGAACACTTTTTGCAAAACTTCAGGCTCATTGTGTCAAAACTTTACACACAAGCACACAAGACACAACACTGGGAAATAAACCATTCACATCTATGTCGAATTGAAACTCTGCGATCAAAACCTAACAATCCTTTGCCAAAATGCCACTCTGATGACTAAATGATACACACTTGCATCATATGAATACACTTTCAGATTAGCAGCAACACAGTAGTGTACTTTATATAAAACACAGCAGTCTTTAATTTTCACTGTTTTTATTAAGTTCATCAGGTAGCATTCTGTGAAGCTCAATGCAACACTTACAGTTTTTGTTCTGTTTTTTTCCAACAAAGGTTTTCACAACAACCAAAAAAAAAAGCACTGAAAGGTTACAAGTGACATCAACTCAATACGGCACATCACAGTACTATACGTTACAGTACAGTACAGTAAATGCAGTAATGCAAAAATAATACACAAATTACACTACTGTAAATACAGAAAAACAGGCCAATTGTGCATGGGTGGGATTACAGATCCTGCCGTCTGTTTAGGTCTGGCCACAGGATCTCATCATGTTGCTCTAATATCATCTGAAATTTTGTTCCGTGCATAGCCTCTTCGACCATGTCCTGCTCCTCTCTCTCTTTGTCTTCCTCTTCCTCTACCTCTTGCTCTCTCTGCCTCCATGCTTGCAAAGTTCTCAAAATGGCTCAACTGAGGCCTATTTGTGGTTGGCTGATTGGTGATCAGTTTTGTAAGTAAGTGTTTTCAGGTGTGTGTCTAAGTGTTTTCAATCACCTAGACACACACACACAGTAGGGAGTAGGAAACACACACACACACACACACACACACACACACACAGCAGTTAGTAGTGAACACACACACACACACACACACACATAATGGAATAATGGATAATGGAAAACATATAGTGATAACATTTTTGGCCATATCGCCCAGCCCTAATTTTGTGTTTGAGTGGGAAATGTGATGAAAATATTGTCACAATGCAAAAATCTTAATGGTCCTTAAAAAGGGCCATCATTTTGCATTATTTAACATTATTTTCTTTTGAGATTGTTGTGAAATGTGACCAGTTTCACTGAACCATGTTTTGTTTGAGAAGCATGTTTATATTTTTTGAGATCTCGAGTGTGTTTGGTAATTGTGTGTGTGTGTGTACTCAACTCAAGCACGCACACGCACACGCACACGCACACGCACACACAGGTTTGTTTATTTTGTAAGTAAGTGTTTTCAGGTGTGTGTCTAAGTGTTTTCAATCACCTAGTGTGTTTTGTATTTTGAATAGATGTGTTTTCCCAATGGTACCCATGAGATTTCATTTATGAACGAAGTGTCTTATGTATGAAATAGTGTGTAGTGTGCAGGAGCAAGTGTGTTGCAGAATTGCAACTGAAGTGCAAAGCAGCGCTTTTGTTTAAGGTATGGTTACACTGTGTTTAAGGTATAGTAACAAAAGCTTCAAGTTTTGTTACTTTGGTCTAAGCATGTGTCTATAGTGTTCAACCAATAGGCAAAAACTGTAATAAAGTTAACGTGATACATATTCGACAGTCATACATAAATGAAACAGGCCAGTTTTCTGTGATAGTACTAATAAACTGTGTTTTAACGACACAATAGCCAGGTTTATAGATTTATCATCACTAAATCTCATTTGTTTCAATCTCATTCATTTGAATTATACATTTGCTTGTTTCACAGCTAGTCATATTTGAACCATGATCATACTTTTACACTAAATACATTTGAGTGTTTTCACAAAGAACAGATTTATGCTGATCCTAAGCATTTTGAATAGATACATTACGAAAATATAATTAATTAAACAAAATCAAACATATGCAAATAGTTAGTAACAAACTATGCCTTACTTGTATTATTTGTGAAGGACTGACAAATATGCCTCAAATTAAAAAAAAATGTACGTTAACTTTTTATTGTATGGAAATTCCTATGCAATTCAAATACATAAATCTAAAATGTAGACACATATTATTTTGAGTGTATCTTATTGGTGATCTTAGGACAGTCAGGCAGAAAGACACTTACCCAGGTTCGCTTTGCGGGTGACAAACTTGTAGTCATCATAGATGGTGCTCTCTGGGTTCTCCCCGAGCTCCTCCGTCAGGTTTTCCAGGAAGGAGCACCAGCGTGGAGCCGGACCAAGAGCCTAAAGACAGATGTAGATCTTCTCCAAACATGGCATGGCATTCTGAAGATGATCTTTAACATTTTAGGATGAATCTCATAAAAAAAAACTGTTGTGATATCTGGTCAGACTTCACAGAGAAATCAATAGAATGTAGTTGCCTGAACAAAGACTATATTTATGAGCTATATTTATGAGCGACTGTATTGTGACATTTTCATGACAATTAAGCACATTGCCAGTTAATGTGGCAGTATCTGTTGTAACTGGCAGTGATCTATGCTGATTTAAAAATGAGCAACAAAAAAAAAGAAAACCCTCAAAGCTCTTCACTACAAACCACCAAATCTCATTTCATGAGATATTAGTTATGAATTCATTAGTAAATTAATTGTCATTTGTTAATTTGATAACATTTTAAATAATTAAATTGTTAAAGTTATGAATTCTTTTCATTTCACTTGTAAATTAACTGTCATTTTATTTGATTGTATTTTAAACTTTAATTAAATACGTAAAGATTAAAATAAAACAGAAAACACAGAATTTGGAAAAAAAAATTCATGACACCCTAAATTAAAACGAAGCTTGTTCCGTGGAGTCGTTTACATTCATGCTTGAGCTCTAACAGCTCTTTATGTTATGAATATTGTGATACATATCAATATCAAATGATAATGGAAAACATATAGTGATAACATATATGAACCATGTTTTGTTTGAGAAGCATGTTTATATTTTTTGAGATTTTTTGAGATCTCGAGTGTGTTTGGTAATTGTGTGTGTGTGTGTACTCAACTCAAGCACGCACACGCACACGCACACGCACACGCACACACAGGTTTGTTTATATGGTTTATGGGGACTCTCCATAGGCGTAATGATTTTTATACTGTACAGACCGTATTTTCTATTGCCCTACACCAACCCTACCCCTAAACCTACCCCTCACAGGAAATGTTCTGCATTTTTAGATTTTCAAAAAACTTCATTCTGAATTATTTATAAGCCTTTTGAATTACGGGGACACTGAAAATATCCTCATAAATCACCTTCTCGTTGTAATACCTATGTCATACCCATGTTATTATACAAATTTGTGTC